CACATCAAATTCATGGGATCTTAATTCATTGCTACATAAATTCAAAATCATAAGGCGTTGAGCATATTCACGTGCATAGACTATAGTCCAATTGTACTAAAAGAACATTTTTAAACAGTTTGTGATAAAATTGTATATTTCTTGGCCATTCTGTAGTTTAAGTAGGAATTGCAAAAGTTCATAACCCCTTACATGAACTAAGCGTGTATATTTTATACCATTTAAGAAGACCGCTTATTGTTCAAATATTCACATGGTCACCCTAATTGAGGCATAAGTATGCACAAATAGTTTCGCATCCTTTCTTCAAGATAGATCTACCGAATTATTTTTTGTTACAAAAGAATATCATATTTTGGAATCTAATATTAATTATTAAGAGAAACTCGATGTTGGATTTGCATATCATTTCGATTCTCTTTTTCTTCTCTATCAATCTTTATTTCTTTTCAAATCAAATAAAGTAACCAAAGAAAGTATCAACAAAAAATTTCATTTCACTACTAGAAAAATGTACAAAATTTAAGTCATAAAAGTCTATCATTTCTTTGGGTTTACGACATACATGATCATTCCTTGAATCCTCATAAAACCCGGTATTGTTTTATGAAAATGAACTCAAAATTTAATTTATAAAACTTTGTCTTATAGAAAAATATTTGTCTAAATTGATAAAAAAAAAAAACAGATTCTTTCTAAATGTCTATCTCGTTGTAATTGTCATGTGTTATTAATCTTTCCCAATTTTATTTTAAATATCTTCTCTCTTGCCTACTACAATAAACATCATATCCCTTTCGCTGTCAAGATCCATCGATCGATCAAGCTAGCAAGTGCTTCAAGTAGCTCCCTTTGAGACCTAACGATCGAGACCTATAAACACAAGAACTCTAACCGACTGCCTGATACATTTTCAGGTCTCGAAGGCGGTTTCTATAAGGTTAATTGATTTTAGGATTTGTTTTTATAATATGCGTCCTCCTCTATCACCACTGATTGATGTCCCAATCGTACCTAGTGAATGCCGACCATTGGCATTCCTTGGTATCCATCGGCCCCAAACCGTCCCTTACAGTGCTCATAAAGCCTAGTGCTGGTCAAAATCACATTCAGGTTGTAGAGTGTAGTGGTAAGACGTATATCATCTATATTTTATTTTCTGTTCATCACCTATTACATTTGCATCCTAAACGATTTTTCAAAGTTTTTCTTTTGCCTACTTGATAAGTCGAACACCAAGTGTTCGATGAATTTCCTTTAGTGAGAACGAACAATTTATATGTTGTATTCAACCTAAAATTCCTTTAGATCATTCATTTAGAGTGAGGTTAAGATTTTGGAAAGGTTGCCATTGTTGAATTGGTTAAAATTTTAGTTTTTAGGGTTGTGGTTCATCGGTTAGTAAGTTGATGAAGATGAGTGGTTTAACCTTAAATGGAAGTCAATTTATACATTAAATACCTCAATTTCTCTCCTAATCGGGTTAATCTTACTATCTGGTTCTTTTAAAGGCCAACTGCCTTTTTTGTCCCCTTAAGACCATAAATAATTAAGGGTTGCTCTTTCTGAATCCACCAATAAGGATAGGTATGTTTGTGATTGCTTTTGCTTACAAATTTTATTTTCTATTTGGTCTGATGATAAAAATAACTTGGAATATGCTATTCTCAACTCAGAAGTAATCATCGGAGAGAAAACTTCCACAAATCAGTTGACAGAAATAGAAGAATTTTCTAGGGATTCAACTTCGACTATTAAGGACAATTTGGTGACAAAAGTTGTTGATGAAGATGAAATTAAATTTGACTCGAGTCCTGATGAATCATCATCCATCATTCTTATCCAGATTGTTGTTAGAAAATTCTTGGCATGTAACTGTTAGGCTGTCTAACCCAACAAATGATAGGGGTACAATATACTCTAAAAGAACACTGTTATATTGCACTAAAAAGTAGCACATGATAAGCAAGGTCGATCCATAGAGACACAGGGCTAATGTCTATACCTTTTTGCGTAAGGTAATTTAGTCACCAAGAACAAAAAGAAAGGAAGGGGGTAGTATGTAACAATTCAAATAAGTAAACCAAGGGACAAACATATGATTAACTAATTAAAGTAAATTCATAATATTTAAATACTCAAACTCTATGTATAATGACTTAGCAATGTGATTCCAATATGACATGATATTTGTTCAATTCTACCCAATTGGTACTTGAAAGTGTTAGCAAGCTCTAACATTTTCCATTCGCCATATTAATTAACCAAAATAAGATCTTTGATTAACCCTAACCTCACTAACCTAATCTAAACAAGCTGCTAGAGTTAGATTTAAAGATTGCATTAAACTTTATGTGAATGTTCCAAAAAAAAAACATTCAATACTCCTCACAAGCTCGAGAACGTGAGGATGTGTGAATATGATTTACACAAGATTTATTCAAAAGAATTTAATTTAGTGCTTGTTACTTTCTCTATTTCATAAAACAATTACGGATTTTGAAAAATAAATAACTTTAATGATCTAATCCTAATTCAAACGGCCAATAAGAACTACAATTAAAATCAAACATTCGATTGAAACGAAATCAAATTCTCTAGATAGAAATTTGAAACAACATCAAATCATATGATTGAAATCACAATTAAAAGTGAAGACATAAACTTTGAGAAATTAGGGTTCTAGCTACACATTACTAGAACAATCAACAAGTCTAGAAAAGATGAAATAATCTACATACGAGACTTACAAATCCAACGAAAAATATTTACAAAATGATTACAATCGAAACCTTGCAAAGACCTTCGAAATTGCTCTTCTCTCATGCTCTGAAAAGTGAAGTCTCCCTGTGTAATGTCCCCAATCCTGTAATATGAAAGATAGGAAAACTACCAAAAGTTAGTTTTTTAGCCGAACACTCCCCGTATCGATATAGAGTAAATCAACAAGGGTCATGTTGGGTGGGAGTATGCAAGCCATCATTAGGTCTTCTACCAAAGTACAATGCTAAAAAATGCTCAGCTAGACCAACACGACCCGTTTCGAAATAGGCTTAACTGATACGGGTCATGTTCAGCATGGTCAACAGTTTCTTATTGGCCAAACACGACCCATGTTCACTTTTCAGTACAAATCCAACACGCCCCATGTTCGCTCCTGCTTCTAAGTCCAATCTTGATTTTTCAAACTTTTCCATTTTGCATCCAATCATCCTGGAATTTTCACCCATGCTTCCCGGCACCTCCCAAAGTGCGTTTCAACCTCTGTTTTACTTGAAAAGACCATAAAAGTGTGCAGATAAAGTTGTTCTAGAGACTAACATGATGATAAAATGAAAAACAACTATGCTAATTGGATGCACAAAGGGACTAAAATGTGTGTAAAAAGGTGCACAAAATGAACCTAACAAATCTCCCTAAGCTTAGACATTTCTTGTCCTCAAGAAATAACAAGAATCAGACGAAACATGACGATTTCTAGATGGAAAAAAGAAACATAGAACAAAAAGGGACAGAAAGATCCTGAAAGCTAAGAACGAATGCATTCAAAGAAAACCATGAAAAAGAAATATATGTACAAAAGAAGCTTAAGAAAAATGAACCGAAGAAAATTTCAAAAACACAAATTTGTTTTTTCATACGATCAGACTTTATATCGATGGGGGCTTCAATCACTAATACCTAGGTGACCATCCTGCTTCCTTTCATGTACCACATACTTCTAAAGTGAGGAAGACCACAAAACGGTGTAACCTAATAATCCAACCATAGTTTTATTTAAACTTTATACCTTAATTATCTTTGTGAGAGAAAATAACATAGTCTAGGATCTCATGTCCTTAAAACTAGATAGTCAAGAATTAGAATTGACGCATCCTTAAGACCCGTGACGACAAATTAGCTTTCACTAAAGCAGTGAGCCAACCTGAAGGGGCCCAGATCCTATGCTTTCACTTTTTCGAGAGCCACTAGTATCATATCACACAATTATTCATTCGCCATATTTGACATTGAGATGACTACTGATTTGATTGAACTTGGATTTGTAACTTCTTTTTGAGCTTGATTTCTTCAATCAACATTTTGAATTTCTTAAATTTCTTCGATCGAGTGCTTGGAATTTTGGTTTGGGTACTGGATATGACAGTTATACCATTTCTTCCTTTTTGACTGTGTAGATCTGATACTTAAGCTCTCTGCTACCGCAAGGGTAACACTTGTCAATAAATAGGTCCGTGTTCTGTAGGTCTATAGTTGTCAATAAAGATTCTTTTTTAAACATTCAAAAGCAAATCATCCCAAAGTTGTTATTACCACTCACAAAAAACGTTTCAATATGCCATTTTTTTATTATCTAAAGTTAGGGTCTCGAATTACGATGTTTGGGTCCCCTAGTTATGACAACTGATTCTATACTTCCAGTAATGATTCAGTTTCTTTGGATTTTTTTTTTCATTTCCCCACTTCGCGGAGCTATCGTATGTAAAGATTGTCCTCATCTGGTATTTTTGTTTTGTTTTGTTTTAAAAGAAACTAGGAAGAAAACTGGAAACTAAGAACATAAACAAAAAATCTTTTTGGATTTTTTTATTAAAATTTTTATTTTTATTTTTATTAAAATTTTTATATTTATGAAATGCATGAAAATCAAAATGCATGGAGATGATCCTAATGTACAACTCTACCGCTCCCCAAGCTTGAATATATGCATCATCCCTAATGCTTGGAAAGGGCGGAAGAACCTATTGAGGATAAGGAGGAGGATAGTACCTGAGGTTTCGGGTCCAAGTCCAAGAGTCCTCCTCATGCTTGCATTGGCATTCTTGATCTCGGGCATATTGGGTGGTGAAGGAGGATAAATTTTAGGTTAGATGTGTGAAGTCTTTATGGTAGATGTCAAGGTGGGTATGAATTGATTGGAACTAATCCATGTATCATTGGTGATATGATAGGTGTCTAGCATCATGGGATGAGCTGGCTCCATATGTGGAAGGAAGATTTCATGGTTCCTCCTCTCCATCCTTATCAGCATCATCTTTCTCACTTTCTTGACCTTTCTCATCTTCCTCACCCGAAGTGGAGATAGGGAAAAGGTACTGGGTGATTTGCCAATCGGTGAGGTTGGTAGGACGTTTGAGGGCAAGAACGTTTTGGTTATTAGGTGTGATAAGGAGCTTTAGGTCATGGTTTTGGCCCACGGTCCAATTATGATTTCTGTCCATCAATCGCAACAACCTCATGGACTCGAGCATTGTCGTGGTGAGATAAGGCTCACCGAGCAGTGGTTGGTGATTTCCGAGATATGGTGCCCGAACTGGTGCACTTTTGGCAAACATGCTAACAATGACACCATAATAGATTTTTCCTGATTAGGATGTGCTGACACGGATGAGTTTGTTGGAAAGAAATGAACCAGAGTGAGGTATGAGGTTATCATCCGGGTGAGCCATAACATAGAGGATCTTTAGCTCAAGACCTCTAATGGTGCTTCGCTCCTCCCTAGGGATGACGAGCGAAACAATGATCCGATGAGCCACTTTCATCACATGTTGGATGAGATATGAGGCTTTATTGCACTTGAGACATAAGGATGATGATGGGTAAGTTGAGACCACCAAGTGAGTTCATTGTATGCCACAATTGGATCAGTGGGGCCAAAAGTGTTTTCAGTTAGGGCCCTAACAATGGCATTGATTTGGTTCAAGGAAAGGTGTAACATCCCAAAATTTAAGACCAAAAATTTCATTTTAAATCTAATAATTATAAAACCATTTGTGTGAAAACATGAATAGAATCAACTCATATAAAAACCAATGTGTCAATAGTTAAAACATGTCATGATAAAACAACATCAGATTATAACTCCCAAAGATCTCATGTGGGAAAAAATAGTGTGATGCGTTGCGATCATGTCGGCTCCTTTCCCTTCAAAGAGGATGTACCTAAAACCAAAACTGAAAACCATAAGCACAAAGCTTAGTGAGTTCCCCCATCATACCATATACCATACAATAACATACTGCCTAGTATATCCGGGTGCTGGCCTACCCCTTTAGTCTCTTTCAACCAGTAATCACCTTGCATATCAGGGTGCCGGCCTACCCCTTCGGTCTCTTTCAACTGGTAACTGCCTATCATATCTAGGTGGTGGCCTACTCCTTCCGTCTTTCAACCGATAACTGCCTAGTATATCTGGGTGGTGGCCTACCTCTTCGGTCTCTTTCAACTGGTAACGGGGACTATCTCACCCCTATCACTACCACATACCATCCTAATACATAAACATATAAGTCATATATGGCCTAGCATATCTCAATGATGGCCTACCCCTTCGGTTCATTCGACCGGTTACGGGGTCTATCACACCCCTCCTAACACTATCACATAATATCATAGCATACTAGGACATAAACCATAACGGATAGTGGCATACCATACAGTTATCACAAAGACAATCACCTCTACTATAATCAAGTACTAGTGGGCTGGCGTTGGTGCCTTCGACCCACTTCTACTGGAAGGTAACTCACCTCAAATGTTGTAAAATAACTGAACAGTCCATGGCTCTGAAGTCAACCCCACTCAAACTCCAATACCTAAAAGATTCCCTTTAATTACCCTTTCATACTTATAATCCATTAAGGGTCAACTTTGGTCAAAGTTAAGGTTAAAGTCGAATTCAAAGTCAAAGTCAACGCTCCGAGTTGACTCAACCCGTCGAGTTCACTCCTCAACTCGCCGAGTTCCCATAAATCATAAAATCGTGAAATCACAATCCAACTCATCGAGTTTCCCTTCAACTCGCCGAGTTTCTCCTTCTTGATAGAATCTGGACCTTCCAGTATAACTCGTTGAGTCCCCTTGTTGACTCGTTGAGTTCCTTCTGTCTTCAAGAAGCCAAGAAAACCCTAGCAAAGTCACCGAGTTTACTCTGTAATCAAAAAGGTCGGGGACCATGATCCAACTCACCGAGTTGGGTAAACAACTCGTCGAGTTCCTTAGTCTTAACTCATTCAGTCACTTCCAAGCGAGGCTAATGCTTCCAAACCATAGATCTGGTCCCCTTGGACTGAGATACCACGTAAACTTGCTAACTTTACGTCAATGCATGGTATCAAGAGGCTAAAAACCCTAAAACTAAGCTTTATAAGGGACTAAGGGCATGGAGGAGGACCAAGACTTGATAAAGCTGGCAACTTTAAGTCTTAATAGTCCATGAAATGACTAGATATGAAGTCATAACTTCATAATATGTTCAACTCCATAAAAGACACCAAAACAAGCTACTAAGACCATAAACTTCTCAAAGAAGAGATCTAGCAAATAAATAGTCAAGGTATCGACTTTATACCTTCAAATAGTTGCCACAACATCGAAGATGCCGGATCTAAAGATTCTCCCTTCAACCTTGCACCACCAACTTCACACTCCTTTAAGAAAAGCACCAAAGAACACTCTTAAGGCTCACTCACACTAAAAATGGGGAAATAGGCACGATTAGGGTTTGCTCAGGACTGAGGGGACGATGAGGGAGGCCACAATGAGAGAATAAGGCCTTTAACTAGGGTGCAAAACCCTGAAAATTTGGGTTTCATTTCTGCCAACCTACTCGTCAAGTTGCGGCCTCTCAACTCGTCGAGTAGGTTTCTTAACCCGCATCCCAAATAATTCCTACTTGATGAGTTTAGGGCTTCCAACTCATCGAGTTCCTATATATAAGTACATAAATTATGATTTTAAATACATACCAGAAACCAGGCATTACAAGCGGGTATAATCATTGTTCATGAGCTGGAAATTAAGGACACCGTGGTCCAAATAGACAGAGGACAAAAACTCAGCTGTTGGGATTTTGTAGCTGAGTTCATGGACTTGCAGTAACCCTTTCCAGCCAATGTTTCAGAAAAAGGTGTGGACTTAGTGATGGATCTACAACTCACAGAGAGATGACACATGCACGAATTTTTGAATGGTATGTGTGCACTAAACGAACACGACTCGTGTTGAGTTTTAGGTGAAAATGAACATGACCCATGTTTGCCTTTGAATGCCAATTCTCAATTTTGAACCCACATAATCCCAAGTCATCTAAAAAATGGTTTTGCATCCCGAGATTCGTTTTGTGGTTTGAAAGCATGTTGTAACACATTTGGAACATTAAAAACCAAAAATTTCAAAGAAACATAAATGTTTTGATGGAAAAGACAAAAATACCACGGGCTGGTTAGCCGCCCTTATTTTTAGTCGTTGGCTCGACTTGGCCCCTGAATATGCTTCATTATTAGTATGTGGGGTTCTCAACCACTTCTAGATCTTCGTTCTTCACTTTGAATCCTTCGTAATACACTTTTAATCTATGCCCATTGACTTTAAAAGTATTCTTGGTTTGTTGGCTTGTGATTTCCACCAAACCATCTTGATCTTCACTTCCCTGATATCAACTTGAACCTCGAGTAGTAACGAAGCACTTTTTGACCCTTTGAAAAAGTCTTTCGGAAAATTATTTTATAATGATATTCCTTTTTCTTCTCTTTGTAAATCATTTCATTCTCATATGCATCATTTCTAATCTCCTCCAACTCTTGAATGTCTAACTTCCTTTTGTTGCCCGCTTTATCTTTATTCAAGTTGAATTTCTTCACAGCACAAAATGCTTTGTGCTCAAGCTCTACTGGAAGACGACATGTTTTCCCAAACACTAACCGGTATGGAGACATACCAATAGGAGTCCTGAAAGCGGTTCGGTATGCCTATAAGGCATCATCCAACCTTATGCTCCAATCCTTATAGTGTGGATTTAAAGTTTTGTCCAAGATTCTTTGGTTTTGCCTATTAGAGACCTCTGCTTACCCCTTGGTTTGAGGGTGATAGGTTGTTGAGACTTTATGAGTCACCCTATACTTTTTCAAGATGGATTCAAGCATTCGGTTGCAGAAATGAGTCCCACGATCACTTATTAGAGCTTTTGGAGTGCCAAACCGAGATAAAATTTGTGCTTTAAGGAAATCCACAACAACTTTGTAATCATTAGTACGGGTGGCCTTAGCCTCCACCCATTTGGACAGATAGTCGACCACCAACAAAATATATGAACAACCAAAAGAGGGTGGAAATGGTCCCATGAAGTCTATGTTGGGTTTTGGTCATAAGAACATCTTATGTACTCATGTAACCCTAATGCTTGGATCTAGGTTTCTCTATTGTACATGCAATTCATCCAAGACTATAAACCCTAATTCTATCATATGATAATCAATATTAACATAATAATGGGTTTAAGATATTACCTTGATTGTTATGTAGCAATAACAATCACAATTCCTCCTTGTGATGACTTTAGAAAACTTAGAGTCATAAATTGCACTCCTCTAATGGTTCACAAACACCAAGAGCAAGAGGATGAAGAATAAGGAGAGAGGAGGTTGCCCAAAATGTGTGGAAACCCTAGAGAACCAGTTCACCACGTTTTGGGACTTAAGGGTATTATATATACATGTAGACTATTAGGGTTTTCAACTAGGAAACCTTATTCTTATTAATTCTTGACTAATATTAATTAAACAATATGATTTCTCCTTTAATATATTATTCTCATAATATATTAATAAATCATATTTAATCCTTTCTCTCCATAATTCATCCTATCAAGTTGCTTTGGTGAAGGCAACCCAAAAGGACCATGCACCATCGGGTCAAGTACATACCAAAATAGTTATGGACTTAGACACTAATCCAACAGTCTATACCTCACACATTGAATATTTCACAAACTAAGATGGGGGTAAGGGGCATTTGATTCCTAGTATTTATGGACCTGGATTTTTGGCACTTATCACAATGTGAACATAGCACATAAGAATCTTGAAATATAGTAGGCCAATAATATATGCTATCGAAGAATTTTCTAGTTGTCATTTGGGGTTCAAAATGACCTCCACAAGCATAGGAATGGCAAAAGTTAAGTATGGATTATACCTCATTTTTCTCAACACACCTTCAAATCATTTGGTCCGCGCAATACTTCCAAAGGTATAGCTCATCCCATGCATACCTCTTTGCCTTCGTTTATTTTGTCCTTTTGCCAGCGTGTGGATTGCGGGGGAAATTTATTCGTTACCAAGTAGTTGAGAATGTTCGCATACCATGGTATTTCTTTGGTGACGAATAATTGCTCATTCTTAAATATGTCACGGATTGGTGTACCATTTTCCAGGTGATACAACACAGCTAAGGTGATTTGCAACTAAATTAATATCTATATCAAACTCTTGCAGAAGCAACATCCACCGTATTAAGCTCGTGTTCGAATATTTCTTGGTTAGTAAATGTTTTATCG